AGGGTCCCCGCTGCCCGGTGAGTGCCAGTCTCAGACCGGCCCCAACCTGGGCACACGTGCCGAGCTTCCCTGACCCGGCACCAGCCGCTGCACCCTGCAACCTCTGGAGAAAGGGTCTCCTCTCTGTGCCACCATCCAGGCCGCCGACACAGGGACAGGCCTCCACCCCTGCCAGGGTGCTCGTGGGGGAGCGGGCTGGCCGGGATAGGGGTCCTGACCCAGCCACCTTGCCCCTCCCTCCACAGGGACCCATTTGGGTTTTGGTTTTGGAGCCATACCCAGCTGTGCCCGGGGCTGACGCCTGGCTTTGGGCTCGGGTCACCCCCGGTGGGGCTCGGGGCACCATTTGTGGTGCCGGGGATCAAGCTTGGGTCGGCCACGTGCAAGGCGAGCCCCCTGCCCGCTGTCCCCGCTCCCGCACCCCCCAGGGACCTACTGCCAGCAGCGCGAGGTGGAGGCCATCACGGAGGGCGTGGAGGAGGACGAGGGCTGCTGCTGCTGCGAGCCGGGCCACCTGCCACGCGTCCTTTCCTTCAACGCCGCCTTCGGGCAGCGCTGGCTGGCCTGGGAGGTGACGGCCAGCAAGTACGTGCTGGAGGGCTACAGCATCAGCGACAACAACGCGGCGTCCATGCTGCAGGTCTTCGACCTCCGCAAGATCCTCATCACCTACTACGTCAAGGTGTGCCACGGGGCGGCTCCTCCCGGGACAGACCAGGGTGTGCAGTGCTAGGCTCCCTGGCCCATGGGTGCCCCTGGGAGTTGTCGGGGCCCCCACATTCCTCTCAGCAAGGTCAGTGGTCGTTATCCAGGCTTTGGTGTCTGGGCCTGGCCACGGCTCCCCAACTGGACCCCTGCTCCTGGGACCTGCTCCCTGGTGGCCACTCTGCCCCTCTCCCACCCCTAGATGCCACAGTTCTGCCAGGACAGAGCACCAGTACCCTGACTCCGTCCCCGGGGTGGCACCCGGAATCTGTTACCCCAGTAGCCACTGTCACCTGCCAGCCTCACACTGCCAGGACCCTTGGCCTTGTCAGCTGCTTCCCTTCCTAGTCTACCACAGTCCAGAGACCCCACCTTGGGATGGGCAGTGTCCTGTGGCCACTATGTCCCCCGGCACCCGAACCCTTGGGCCTGCAGAACTCCCCCCAGCTCAGCCTGGCCTCAGTCTGAGTCCCCTGGATCCCATAGCTTTGGTGTGTGTGGGGGTCCCCTGCTGGGTAACTGTGGCTCGTCTGCTCGTCTCTACCACGCGGGACCTCAGAGACCTTCCATGGATGCGGAGTCTCCTGTCCTCCTAGGCCTGGGTGGCTCTGAGGGGCGGCCCCGACCCTGTCACCCCCACCTGCACCCCCACTTCTCCCCTCAGAGCATCATCTACTATGTGAGCCGCTCGCCGAAGCTGGAGGCCTGGCTGAGCCACGAGGGCATCGCGGCCGCCCTGAGGCCCGTGCGGGCCCCCGGCTACGCCGACTCAGACCCCACCTTCTCGCTGAGCGTGGACGAAGACTATGACCTGCGGCTCTCGGGCCTCTCCCTGCCTGCCTTCTGTGCCGTGCACCTGGAGTGGGTGCAGTACTGCGCCTCCCGGCGCGGCCAGGTCAGCCCCCCGCAGCTCCCCTGCCTCTGCCCTGCCTGTCTCCGGTCTGAGCCGGCCCCTGACGATGGGCTTCTTGTGCTGCAGCCCGTTGACCAGGACTGGAATTCGCCACTGGTCACGTTGTGTTTCGGCCTGTGTGTGCTGGGTCGCCGGGCCCTGGGGACGGCCTCGCACAGCATGTCCGCCAGGTGAGCGCCCACAGGTGCCCCTGTGCCTCCCGGGCTACCCCCTCCTCCTCCCTCCCTGCCCAGGCCCCAGAGACCTCCAGCAGCCCTGCTTGGGAGTTGCCTCTCTGCTGTGGCATCTGGCCTGCTTCTGACCCCGCTGAGGGACACAGCCAGACGGGCCTCCTGGTCACAGTGGGGAGACTGAGGCCTGGCGGACCCAGGGTGGAGCTTTGAAGTCTCACTCCCCGCAGCCTGGAGCCCTTCCTGTATGGCCTGCACGCCCTGTTCAAGGGGGACTTCCGCATCACCTCCCCGCGCGACGAGTGGGTCTTTGCCGACATGGACCTGCTCCACCGGGTGGTGGCCCCTGGGGTGCGCATGGCCCTCAAGCTTCACCAGGTGGGCAATGTGCCCCGGCAGGCGCACGCGGGGGCTGTGGGGGCGGGGAGAAGGGGGCGCTCCCCAGGGTGGGGCCCGCTGACCCGGCCTCCCCTCCAGGACCACTTCACCTCCCCGGATGAGTACGAGGAGCCAGCCGCCCTGTACGATGCTATCGCCGCCAATGAGGAACGGCTGGTCATCTCACACGAGGGTGACCCCGCGTGGCGCAGCGCCATCCTCAGCAACACGCCTTCGCTGCTGGCACTGCGCCACGTGCTGGACGATGCCTCGGATGAGTATAAAATCATCATGCTCAACCGGCGCCACCTCAGCTTCCGCGTTATCAAGGTAGGCCCCGCCTCCCGGAGGCCCCGCCCCTACGGACCACGCCCCACCCGGAGGCCCCGCCCCATCTGGAGGCCCCACCCCGCCCCCTGACGCTTTCCCTTGGCTCCATGCAGGTGAACCGCGAGTGCGTGCGTGGCCTGTGGGCCGGGCAGCAGCAGGAGCTGGTGTTCCTCCGCAATCGCAACCCTGAGCGTGGAAGCATCCAGAACGCCAAGCAGGCACTCCGCAACATGATTAATTCTTCCTGTGACCAGCCTCTAGGCTACCCCATCTATGTGTCGCCCCTCACCACCTCCCTGGCCGGCAGCCACCCACAGCTGCGGGCGCTGTGGGGTGGCCCGGTCAGCCTGGGTGCCATCGCCCGCTGGCTGCTGCAGAGCTGGGAGAGGTGAGCCCTGCCCGCCCCCCAACTCTGCCCCTTCACGGAGTCAGAGAGGGGCCGGACCTTCCTGAGCGCCAAGGCAGAGAACTGAGCAGTCTCGGAACCGGCCGGGAGCCCCCATGCGCCTCTGGAGAAAGGCTGGCCTCCTGGGCTGCGTTCTCAGATGGGACCCTGTGGCTCTAAGACAGGCCTGTCCCAGGCCTGGGGATCAAATCACTTCCGGCAGGACTCGGGTCCACATGGGGTGCTGGGGATCAAACCCGGCCCAAGTGCGGCAAAGCCAGCGCCCTGTCCGCTTCCTGTCCCTCTGGTCCCACCCCCCCCACCCCCCAACGCTTTGTCTGCTCCTTCAGGCTGCATAAGGGCTGCGGTGCGGGCTGCAACAGCGGCGGCAATGTGGACGACTCCGATTGTGCTGGAGGCGGAGGTTTGACTTCCCTCAGCAGCGGCAACCCCCCGCTGGCGCACCCCACGCCTGAGAACACGGCAGGTGAGCAGGCGGCCGGCAGGAAGTGGTGGCGAGGGGGACAGCCGCCTGAGGTCGTGCCCTTATCTGTCTCCCACAGGCAGTGGCGACCAGCCCCTCCCTTCAGGGCCCGGCTGGGGCCCGAGGCCTTCCCTCAGCGGCTCTGGTGACGGCCGCCCCCCTCCTCTGCTGCAGTGGCCACCCCCTCGGCTCCCCGGACCACCCCCAGCGTCACCTGCCCCTGCCGAGGGCCCCCGGCCCCCCAGGCCCCTGGGCGCTGGTATCCTCAATTCTGAGGGTCCCAGTGGGAAGTGGAGCCTGGGGGGTCGGAAGGGACTGGGGGGATCTGATGGGGAGCCAGCCTCAGGGAGCCCCAAAGGAGGCACCCCCAAATCTCAGGTAAGGGTCCTGAGGGAGGGGCGGCTCGTGGGGCGGAGCTCAGGGCCGCTCTCCTCCAACCTCTCTCCTCCCCCAGGCGCCCTTAGACCTCAGCCCCGATGTCAGCACTGACGCTTCGCCCCCTGGAGCCACACAGGACCTTCCTGGCTCAGACAGCAGTGCTCCTAAGAGTGACACGCCCACTGGGGCCTCAGGGGACTGGCCTGTCCCCGCTGAGGAGCGGGAGAGCCCAGCTGCCCAGCCCCTGCTGGAGCACCAGTACTGAGGGCCCATCACCCCTGGGTCCCGCCCCGGATCCAGGAGCTCGGACCCCTGGCCTCTGGCCCTCTCTGTCGGACCACAGAACCGAGTGGCTTTGGCTCCACGTCGGAACCCTGGCCTTTGGCTGCCTTAGCCAGGGCACCGGAACTGAGTGACCCAGACCTCTGACCTTGCCCCCTGCTCTCTCGTCCTTCGTTCGGGTGTGGGTGCCCCACACTGGGCAGGCAGCCCCCCAGCCAGGCCTCAGAGCCAACCCCATGGGCTGGTCCCGCTTGGAGCCGGTGGCCAGGACTGACGGCCCCTGGGCCTGGGGCCGGGGCTGGAAGATGGGAGGGTGGATTTCTTCTTTCTTTCCTTTTTTCTTTCTTTCTTTTTCCCCCCGTGCTTCAGAGACACCAGAATTAATAACACTATTTTTGATTTTGCTTCGCCGTTTCCTTTCTCGGGATCGTTTGGGTGAGGGGAGGAGGCGTTTCAGGTCCCCAGCATGAACTCAGGAGGGGACAGGACTTGGGCTAAGGCTGGAGATAAGGCAAGGGTGGGTTCCAGGCCGACGGGGCCCACTTCCTCCCGGAGCTGTTCCCTTCAGGCCTAGATCTGCAGTTCTCTGCATTCACATAATTCCTATTTCTCCCCAATTCTCTCATGTGCTCAGAGCCTCCAGCTCCGGTGGGCTGACTCTGGCCACGATCAGCCTTGACCTTGGGCCAGGCCTCCTGCGAACTGTTGCGGTTGCAAGGCGCCGGGGCAGGGGCGGGCGGCTCCCGTGCCTGACACTAGGTGGCCCGCGCCAGCCCCGACAGTTGGCCTGGTAGCCAGGTGTACTCGTTCCGGCCCAGCAGCCGGGCAGGAGTCCCGACAGCTCTGGCTGGGCCCGGCGCAAGGCCAGCCAGGGTGACCACCGCCTGGCCTCGCCCCCGCCCGCAGCGCTTCCCGCCGGCCCGGCCCCGCCCCCCGCAGGCCCCGCCCCGGCCCCGCCCCCAGGCGGAGCCGGCGCCCCGAGCGGTAGCGGGACCACTGGCAGCCGGACTCCAGCGCGGGAGGCGGCCGGGCCAGAGCGCAGAGGTACCGCGGCGGGCGCGGGGGAGCCCGGGCCCCGGGGTCGGGTCGGACGGGGAAAGGTGCGGGGCGCGGCCCGGGGGTCGCGCGGGGCCGGCCGGGGACCCAGTGGCGCTTGCCGCTGGCGGCACTGTTCCCCACCTCCCTCCTGACTCCAGTTCCCAGCCCGGCGTCCACGCGTCCAGCTGCCCCCGCCCCACGGCGCGCGCGGGACAGTGGATGCCGCGGCTTCCCACCCTTCCGAGTCGCTGGCGGCGGCTCCAGGCGCCGCCGGCTGTGTGCGGGACTGCCCGGTCCGGGGCTCCCCCTTCTTCCTGGACAGCCTCTTCCCCAGCCCTCCTCCTTTGCAAGCCGCCCCCCCTCCCCCAGTCCCCCCGCCTGGCCCAGGAGGGAGGAAACATCTGTCGCGCCCCCTGGCAGCAGCAATGGGGTCGTGACCTCCAGATGTGCTGGGAAGCGTCCAGCGCCTCCTCCTGGGGCAGCCAGGCCTTCCGGATCTGTGGGGGTGGGGCCGGCCCCCTCTCCCCCTCCACCAGTGACACAGCCTGAGAGGAATGTCCCGGCCTCAATGGACCCTGTGTGATGCTGCTGGGGGGGGGTGTGGGGGGGTGATGGCTGTGCTCAAGAACCGGCTCCCACCCAAGACAGGCCAGAGGCAGCCCATCCTCGGCACACATGCCACGGGGCTCAGTCCTCGTGTCCCCGTCACCCCCATCCAGCCCAGAAACTTGGCACACGCACCCACACTTAACTACCACATGGCCTGGTTCCCTAGGTCACCCCCCTTTCATCTCCAGCAGTCTTGGGAGGGGTGAGGAATTGTTAACCCCAATTTAGAGAAGAGAGAACAGAAGCTCGGGGTCAGGCAGGTCCTGTCCCGGGAGACGCCACAGAAGACTCTGGGCCTGGAGGCCTTTCTCTACTTGGTTCCGGAACTTCAGCCAAACCCGGACGTGCAGGAGGACTTAACTAGCAGGGCCTGCACCCCTATCTCGGCTGAGACAGATGGCCTCCCCCCGTCATGTTCTCACACCTCCCTTGGCACCCGCTTCCGCACCGGTCAGGTCCCTGGGGCCTTGGGGTGTCTGTCTTAACATCCTGTGAGCCTGCGTCTCACCCCACCCCCGCCCCCAGTACAGACAGGTGCAGCACTGTGGAGGCCCCGCAGAGCGGAGGCCGGGCCCCAGTGCTTAATCTGCTAGAATGGCTTGGGCCAGGGCACCCTCTTCTCGACCTGCCAGATGAGGTCCAGGTCTCCCTGCAGCATCAAAGGGCCAGGTAGGCAGAGATTCCCTCGGGCCGGACTTCCAGTCCACAGCTGGTCAGCCCACTCCTTGCCTTGCGCCTGGGGCGCGACCACAGTCATCTGCAAGAGGGTGAGCCCAGGCCTGTCCCTCAGGTGACTTGGGTCCCATGACTGAGTTAATATGACCCCAGCACCTTCCTCAGGATGTGGGAGTGGGCAGGGGGCTGGGCCCGGAATTGGGGCCACTTCCTGTTCTGAAGGCAGCCCTCTTGCCATTCATGCGGCCCTAACCAGGGCCCCTGGGAACTCCTCTACACCCCTGTGGCCTTGGGGTGCTGAGGCTGTGGAGGCCAGGACACTGAGTGCACGCCTCTGGGTGCGCAGCTCCTTGGGGAGCCTGGAGGAAGTGGGAGGGGCGGGGAGGAAGGTCTCAGGGGACAGGACGTCCTCCCTTTGTCAAGTGGGCAGGACCCAGACTCCAGAGGCCTGTGGATTTCCCGTCCCGGCCGAGACCAGTTCTGTGTCCATCTGGGCCAGAAGCCTCACTCTGGGTCTGGACCCAGGTCAAGGTGTGTGAATGGGAACTAGGGATCCCACGCAGCAGCAGGGACCCCGGCTCCCAGACCCTCAGGGAGAAGACCCTGACCGTCCAGCCTCTGGCCTGGCCCGAGCAAAGCGGGAGGAGGGGGCTAGAACCCTCGGGCAACAGACAAGGAAGTGGCCAGGAAAGCGGAAGCGGCTTTGATGGTCATGGAGGGGGGCCGGAAGCCGACCCGGGGGGCGGAGGACCAGATCAGGGGCCCGGGTTCCTGTTTTGTCCCCCGGCCCCTCTAAGCAGCCCCCTCCTCCTTCAGGGCAGGAACTGGCCGGCAGGCTGGGCACCGAGCACCGTGCCCGCCAATGCAGCCCAGCCCCCCGAGAGCCAGGCCCACAGCACGCCCATGTGGGCCGGCGGTGTGGGGAGCCCTCGGCGGGGCACAGCCCCGGCACCCACCGACGACCTCTTCGCTCGCAAGCTGCGCCAGCCCTCCCGGCCCCCGCTGACCCCGCACACCTTCGAGCCCAGGTTTACTCGGGGCCCCCTCCTGCGCAGTGGCAGCGATGCCGGTGAGGCGCGGCCCCCTACACCCGCCAGTCCCCGCGCCCGGGCCCACAGCCACGAGGAGGCCAGCCGGCCCGCAGCCACCCCCACCCGACTCTTCACTGACCCCCTGGCCCTGCTGGGGCTGCCGGGCGAGGACCTGGAGCCCACCTTCCCGCCGGTTCCCGAACCCCGCTGGTTCGCCCACTATGACGTTCAGAGTCTGCTCTTTGACTGGGCTCCGCGGCCGCGGGGGACTGCAGCCCACCCGGATGCCACCTCTGGGACCCCTGCCTCGACTGAGAACCAAACTGCCAGCTCAGACCTGCTGCTGGGGGCACCAGGCTTTGTGAGTGAGCTGGGGGGCGAAGGCGAGCTGGGCCTGAGTGGACTAGTGAGCCCCCCCGTGCCTCCCGCCCTGCCCAACACGGCCGTGTCCGTCCTGGAGGAACCTCAGAACCGAACCTCAGCCTACAGCTTGGAGCATGCAGACCTGGGCGCTGGCTACTACCGCAAGTATTTCTACGGCAAAGGTGAGGGCAGGGCCAGCCTGGCAGGCCAGAACTGGGCCAGAGTTCCTTATCACCTGCAGTGCACACAGGAACACTGGCCGCATGCAGGGTCAGGCTCTGCCTCCTGGTCAAGGTTGCCCTTCTGGGGCCAACTTTTAGCCACCTCCCGCCTCCACCCACAGCCAGCCACGCCCCCGGCCTCCCTCTACCGCTTCCTTGCACACCCCGGGGCTGGGGAGAAAAAACGTCTTTTAATCCCCATTAAAGGGAGGTGAGAATCGCAAACCTCAGCACCTGGGAACCCTCTCACCCGTACCCACTGGGGTGGGTTGGGCCTTGGAGAGGAATCAGGCGTGTGGGCGGGGCCAGGGCAGATGCAGGCCTGGGAGCTGGCCGGCATTGGCTCCCTGGGCGGGCGGGGGCGGGACTCGCAGGGGGCGGGGCAAGAGGAGACTTCATAGGCGCTAGCACAAGTCGGGATTGGCGAGCGGCTGGTGGGCGGGGATTCATGTGGGCGGGGCTTAAGCCCCTGGGGGCACAGGGCGGGACACGATGATGGGGAGTGTGGTCCAGCGAGGGTGGGCGGGGCCGAACACGCCTGCTCCGTATCCCCAGAGCACCAGAACTTCTTCGGACTCGACGAGGTGCTAGGTCCCGTAGCCGTGAGCCTGCGGCGGGAGGAGAAGGAGGGCAGCGGAGGGAGCACCCTGCACAGCTACCGCGTCATCGTGCGGACCACGCAGGTGGGCGGGGGTCAGACCGCGGGGGTCAGACGGGGCTTCTCCCCCGCACCCCGCGTGGATTTTGAGCGCCTCTACACTCTCTCCTCAGCTCCGGACCCTTCGCGGCACCATCTCAGAGGAGGTGCTGCCCCCGGGGCCCCCGCGGGGCCTGTCCCCCAGGAAACTTCTGGAGCACGTGGCCCCGCGGCTAAGCCCCACTTGCCTGCGCCTGGGCTCGGCCTCCCCCAAAGTGCCCCGCACCCTCCTGACGCTGGATGAGCAAGTGGTGAGTGGCAGGCAGGGGGCCCCATCCTCCAGCCAGAACTGGCCTGTGGCACTGCTTCCGAGAAAGGGCATTAGAGCCCCGTTTACCTCCAAGGGAGATCTCTCCTCACCCGGGAACCTCGGCCCCAGACTCAGACCAAAGGAATCCAGAGCTGTATTTTAAGGGCGGTCATTCGTATGCACACCTGCCCGTTTCATTGGGAGGCACCTCCAAGTCCCTCCTTCCCTGCCGGTTTACCCTGCAAGACCCAGCTCCATCTCCCTGCTTGCCTGGAATGCTTACTCCTTTCCTGCGTTGCCCATGTGAGCTCAAGCCAGTTGGAAGTTTTCCACACCCTGAGCTGAAAATTGCACACTGGCCTCAATTCAGTCTGTTGGTCATTCAACAAACATGCCTCATGCGTTTATGCATCGAGGCCCCAGACTGGGTGCTGTGGCTATATGGCAGCTGACCTTGAGAACTGGTGGCCAGAGAGGTGGAGAGGTCACAGAGAACTGTGCGTGATGGCGAAGCAGGACACCAGGGAGAGAGGGCAGGTGAGGGCTCCACAGGACACTGAGGAGGTGCTGACAGCCCTCCTTGCCCAGGGGGTTGGCATCATGGAGAAATGCAGGAGGTGGGCGGAGCAGGTTTTTGGGGCAGAAGGACCCAGATGCATAGGCTGAGCTGGAAAGGGGGTCACCTTGGGGTTCTATAGTTCCTTCAGGGTAGAGGGAGAAGGGGCAGGAAGGCCTTCTGGGGGGCACGGTGGGCCCAGGATGGGCAGATTGGGTCACCGACCCAGTCGAGCCGTGGTGTGGGACTGAGCCAAAGGAGGGGATGTTGTGAGTTTCTGCAGCTTGTTGGCCCTCCTGGAAACCGTGTCTGTGGAGTCCGGACCCCCAGCATGGGAGGGTCATGAGGAGGGGGTGCCGGAAAGTTATCCAGGAAGCTGGGGAAATGGATCTGGGCTCGGGAGGAGGGTCTGAGGGGAGCCATGGAATCAGTGGCTGCAGGAAAACACATGAATGGCAGAGGGGTAGGTGTCCAGCTGTCCCTGCAGGGAGTGGGGTCAGGCTAGGAGCTGGGGTAGAGGGGTAGAGGGGCAGCAGGGGCCCGCGGGGCGGCCAGGCTTGGCAGGGAAAGAGGCGGGAGCTGGAGGCCCAGCCTGCCTGAGCAGCTGCCATGCGTTGAGAAAGAGCCAGAGGCACTGGGGTGGAAGAGGGGCATGATGCGGTCCGAGGCCCCCAGAGGCTGGGGGGGTGGTGCATGCCGGAGATTGGAACGTGGAACGTGACCATGTGACAGTTACTGGTGTGGGGCATGCCCCGTGCAGCATCCTTCCTGAGACCCCCACTCCCCTCCATCATAGGCACCCCTTGTTGGGCCAGGATGTGGACCAGCTCCCCAGGGCGGTGCCAGCCTCAGACCAATGTCCTCTCCTCTCCCCAAGGCCTGGTGGGGATAGGCCCGGGGGGAGGGGGACTGAGGCCAACGCCGCCTGCCTGCCCCCCCCCACTCCCCAGCTGAGCTTCCAGCGGAAGGTGGGCATCCTGTACTGCCGGGCGGGCCAGGGCTCGGAGGAGGAGATGTACAACAACCAGGAGGCGGGCGCGGCCTTCACACAGTTCCTCACGCTGCTGGGAGACGTGGTGCGGCTCAAAGGCTTCGAGAACTACCGGGCCCAGCTGGACACCAAAAGTGAGGCCTGGGGGCCAGGCTGGGGATGGGCGGCAGGTGGCGGCCTGGAGGGTCCGACTCTTACTTACTGTCCTAGGAGCAAGGAGGCTTGAGGGTCTGGGGAAGCAGCTGCAGATGCCAAGACCCTGGGGACCTACTGGGGAGCTGGGGATAGAGGGGTGAGGGGGTACCCTCCATCAAACACACACGTTCTCCCCAGGAGTGAGCTCCGCACACTGGCTCATGCCAGTGCCAGGCCATTTCTGGTTCTGTCTTCGCCTCCTCACCTGGGTTCACTTACCCTGGGGTGGGCAGAGGAGAGGGAGCCACTAGGGTGGAGACCCCGGGACTGGGCAGCCTGGATGTGGGCAACAGTGGCACACTCACGTCACCCAGACCCCCCTTGCTCTCTCTCTGTGCCCCCAACGCCCCGGCCACAGCGGACTCCACGGGCACACACTCCCTCTACACCACATACCAGGACCACGAGATCATGTTCCACGTGTCCACGATGCTGCCTTACACCCCCAATAACCAGCAACAGGTGTGCCAGGGCGAGGACCTGGGGGAGATGCCGGGATTTGGGAGGACCGGGCTGTGTGCAGCACGGATGACAATATTGGGGGGACCTCCAGCACCCCGCCCTTTGGCTGTCCCTCCCCAGGCCTTCCCCGGGGTGGGGTGCCCTGCCAGAATGAAGGAGTGGGGGGCAGACAGGGCCCGTTCAGCCCCTCACATACACAGATGTTTCCCGCCCCGCACCCCCAGCTCCTGCGGAAGCGTCACATCGGCAACGACATCGTGACCATCGTCTTCCAGGAGCCGGGCAGCAAACCCTTCTGCCCCAGCACCATCCGCTCTCACTTCCAGCACGTGTTTCTGGTGGTGCGGGCGTATGCGCCCTGCACCGCGCACACCTGCTACAGGTGGGCGTCGCAGGGGGTGGGTGGACTCGGGGTGCCAGTGCCCACCGCTTCTCGGTCCCCGCCGTGGCGCCTGACTCCCGCCGGCTCCCTCCCTGCAGGGTGGCTGTGAGCCGCACCCTGGACACCCCTGCCTTTGGGCCGGCGCTGCCCCCGGGCGGGGGCCCCTTCGAGGCCAACGCCGACTTCCGGGCCTTCCTGCTGGCCAAGGCGCTCAACGGCGAGCAGGCGGCGGGGCACGCGCGCCAGTTCCACGCCATGGCCACGCGCACGCGCCAGCAGTACCTGCAGGACCTGGCCACCAACGAGGTGACCACCACGTCGCTGGACTCGGCCTCGCGCTTCGGCCTGCCCTCCCTGGGCGGGAGGCGCCGGGCCCCGGCCCGGGGTGCGGGCGCCGAGCTGCAGGCGGCCGGCGCGCTGGTGTGGGGCGTCCGCGCGGCGGCGGGGACGCGCGTGTCCGCCAGGCTGGAGGAGGCGGCCCGGCCCGACGGCGCCGAGGTGCCCTGCCTGCTGGGGATCTCGGCCGAGGCCCTGGTGCTAGTGGTCCCCCGCGACGGCCGCGTGGTCTTCAACTGCGCGTGTCGCGACGTGCTGGCCTGGACCTTCGCGGAGCACCAGCTCGACCTGTACTACGGCCGCGGGGAGGCGATCACGCTGCGGTTCGACGGGCCTCCGGACCAGGCGGTCGGCGAGGTGGTGGCGCGCCTGCAGGTGAGGCCCGGGGGCGGGCGCCGCTTGGGGACCCCTGGCGGGAGGGGGACGAATCAGGGCTACGAGCCGACCCGGCCTGGGTCCGGGGCGGGGTGTGGGGACGCCGAGCCTCCTGCCTTCATCCCGAAGGTCGCTCGCGCTCCCCTGGGGGGGCGGTGGAAAGGTCTGTGCGGGGCGGGGGCGGGGGGCCCGGGGCGCGCCCTGCCCCCTGCTCACTGCCCGCCCCGCCCCAGCTGGTGAGCCGCGGCTGCGAGACCCGGGAGCTCGCGCCGCCCCGCGACGGTCAAGGCCGCCTGGGCTTCGAGGTGGACGCCGAGGGCTTCATCACGCGCGTGGAGCGCTTCACGTTCGCCGAGACGGCGGGGCTGCGGCCCGGGGCGCGCCTGCTGCGCGTGTGCGGTCAGACGTTGCCCAGCCTCGGCCCCCAGGCCGCTGCCCAGCTGCTGCGCTCGGCGCCCAAGGTCTACGTCACCGTGCTGCCCCCGGACGAGAGCGGCCGGCCCCGCAGGTCAGCGCGGGGCACGCGGGGGAGGTGGGAGCGTCGGGCCGCCGGCCACCGCCCGGGGTTCGCCGCCTTCGCTGCGTTCTCTCGAGAACCCCACGTGGATGCCTTTCCTCCTCGGGAGAAGCCAAGTTTCCGCACCTCCCTGCGCCGCACTGCCTGGTGACGCCAATTAAGCGCTTGGCTGCTCTAAAGGCCGAGGGCGGGGATATAGCCCCGAGGCCTGGAGCAGGCGGGGAGGACCCCCCCCCCCCCCCAGTGATCCCTGGCGCCTGTGAGCACACAAGAGTACTACAAGGGGGGCTGGAGTGACAGTACATTGCCTTGCACGCGGCTGACCCGGGTTTGATTCCCAGCATCCCATATGATCCCCTGAGCACTGCCAGGAATAATTCCTGAGTGCAGAGCCAGGAGTAACCCCTGTGCATCGCCAGGTGTGACCCAAAAAGGGAAAAAAGCACTGCAGGGTGTTAGGGTATTGACTGCACGACCCCCCCCCCAACACCACCCAAGGAAGTAGCAGCGCCCCCCTCCCTTTTTCTTTGGGGGTCACATGTGGTGGAGCTCAGTGCTTACTTCTGGCTCAGGAATCACCCCTGGCAGGTCCCCGGGATTATATGGCGTGAGGAAAGAACCCTTATCAGTTGCATGCCAGACAAGCGACCTTTCTTTTTTTCTTTTTCTTTTTGGGTCACACTCTGCGATGCTCAGGGGTTACTCCTGGCTTTGCACTCAGGAATCACTCCTGGCGGTGCTTGGGAGACCATATGGGATGCTGGAAATCGAACCCGGGTCGGCCGCGTGCAAGGCAAACTCCCTACCTGCTGTGCTATTGCTCCAGCCCCTGCAAGTGAACTTTCTCCCCCTCATCATTTTAAAACGTCTTCCAAAAAAAAAAAAGTCTTCCCACCAGAGCGATAGTACAGTGGGTAGGGTGCTTGCCTTGCACAGAACTGCCTCGGGTTCGATTCCCCGGCACCCCATGTTTCCCCCGAGCCCCACCAGGAATGATCCCTGAACGCTGAGCCAGGAGTAAGCCCTGAGCACAGCTGGGTGTGGCCCCAAAATAAAAATACCAAAAAAACAAACGAATAAAGAATTTGGTTGCAGCACTAGAATCTCCAAGGAGGACATGGAAATGAACAAGGGTGGCTGGGTTCCACCAGATTTTATTTATGGACACTGAACTTGGGTTTTAGATGGTTTTCGTGTGTCACAGAAATCATATTCTCTCCTTTCAACTACTTAAAAATGTGAACGCGGGGGCCTGAGCATTGCCAGGTGTGTCTTCCCCCCCGCCAAAGAAAACGTGAATGCCTTCTTAGCTCACAGATTTAGTCTCCGGACAGCAACCAGGGGGGTCTCGGTGCTTAGCAACCCACGGGGTGACTTTCACACCCCCTGCAGTGCTCTCTGGGACTGGGGCCATCAGCACCGTCTCCCAGATGGAGGCAATTGTCAGTGGCGGATCCTGCCACGTGCGGGCCAGTGCTGCCACAGGCCGGCTCTGGAACTGTCTGGAGCGATGACCAGCAGCCAGGCACACACAGTGCAGGGTGTGTGTGTTGGGGGGGGGGTGTGGTGGGCTGTCCTGGAAGGGGGCGCCCGGGGTGCCTGACACAGCCCTTCCTCCTCCCAGGAGCTTCTCGGAGCTGTACACGCTGTCTCTGCAGGAGCCCGGCCGGCGCGGGCCCCCGGAGCCGGTGCAGGATGAGGCGCCGGAGGAGGCCCTGCTGCAGGGGTGCATGCATGAGGGCAGTGCGCCCACCGCTCCCGGGGACCTGGCCGAGGAGAGGACCGAGTTCCTGCACAGCCAGCACTCACCTTCACCCTGCAGGTGCGCCCTCTCCCCACCACTCCCCTCCCATGGGGGGTGGGGGAGAGGCCCGGGGGGGGGGGGCTCCCAGTCTTAGCCCTTGTCTCTTCCCAGCTCCCTGGAGGACGAGGCCCCCCTCCTGCCCACCACCACCCCGGACCTGCTTCTGGCCACCCCAGCCAAGCCATCAGCACCCAGTGCCGGCCGGGAGACGCCCCCCGCCCAGGTGAGCAGATGCACGCTTCAGAGGGCACGGCGTGGACACCGGGTGAGGGTGGGCATCTTGACATGGCCTCTGTCCCCCCTCCCAGGACGGTCCAGGCAGCGAGGATGGGGGTGACACTGCTCCCGAGCTGAGAGCCTCCTTCCTGCCGCGCACGCTCTCTCTGCGGAACTCCATCAGTAAAAGTGAGGGCTTGGCGGAACTGGGGGCCAGCGGGGGTGGGTGACTGAGCCCCACCCCCGCCTTGCAGTGGCTGTGGGGCCGGCAGGGGCGGGTGACTGAGTCCTTCTCGCAGTCATCTCGGAGGCGGGCAGTGAGACGCTAGAGGACGAGTGGCGTTCCATCTCGGAGATCGCGTCCACCTGCAACACCATCCTGGAGTCGCTGGCCCGCGAGGGTGAGGCCCGGGGCCTGGGGGGCGGTGGCAGCAGGGTTGGGGCCCTTCTCCGACCTGCCTGACTCTGTGCCCCCAGGACAGCCCTTCCCAGAGAGCGGAGACCCCAACGGACCACCTCAGCCGGATGCCGAGTAAGTGCCCCTTGCCCCTCCCCCACGGCACGCCTCCCCCGTCGGTGTGAGATGATGGGGGGGGGTGCTGAGCTCTTACTGGAGTCCCACCCTCCACCTCGGGTCCTCAGGCCTGACACCGAGAGCCTGTCGGAGAAGGTGTCGCACCTGGAGTGCATGCTCAGGAAGCTGGAGGTTGACCTGCAGAAGGTAAGGGGACGGGCACGGGCACTGGGAGGGGCCCTGGGCACCGCCAAGAGGGGCTGCCACGCTGATACCCGCCTCCCCCAGGAGAAGGCGAACCGGGCGGCCCTGGAGGAGGAAGTGCGGAGCCTGCGTCACAACAACCTTCGGCTGCTCGCCCAGGCCTCGGAGCAGGCCGCGCCCCCCGGAGACCTGGCCTGAGCCCGCAGCCGCCCTCCCGGGCACCTCAGGAACTCACCCTGCGCGCCGCGCAGTTCAGCACTGCCCCACGCCCCACCCCTGCGTGGCCGTCAAACTGGCCCTCCCCTGCCCTGGTGTAAATATTTTGAGGGGGAAGGGACTTCAGGGAGTAAAGAAGCCACTACTAGGGAGTATGTGTGTGTGGGTGTTTGGGGTGACGGGGGGCTTTCGGGGTGCTGCCCGGAGCCAGAGGGGATACTGCTCAGGGCTGGGCTGGCATTGTGTTTCTCTGATGCTGCCGGCCATACCAGGGTCAGCTTGGTCTTCTGTGTCACTGAAGCCAAGTTGAGGGTGGAGTAAGGGCATAGGGTGGGTTAAGGTTCCAGAGCATATGACCACAGCTCCCCTCTACCCCCGACTCACCAACACTGGCCCCGGGTCAAAGCCCCAGCCCTCTTTGGGGTCACCAAGGCCCCAGGCCTGGCACGCTCTATCTCTGTCTCTCTTTCTCTCATCACACCAAATGATGCTCAGGGGTTAGTCCTGGCTCTGCACTCAGGAATGACTCCTGGCAGTGCTTGGGGGACCATATGGGATGCCGGGGATTGAACGTGGGTCAGCCACGTGCAAGGCAAACACCCTACACGCTGTACTGTTACTCCAGCTCCCCCTGGCACTCTCTTGACCACAGATTTGAGTCCAGAGGTGGTGGCCCTTTTGCCTCAGTTTCCTGGAGCTGTTTCCTTATCACTCTATCACTGTCATCCTGTTGTTCATCGATTCCCTTGAACAGGCACCAGTAATGTCTCCTTTGTCCTAGCCCTGAGATTTTAGAAAGTGCCACATTTGAGGCTCTTTCAGGGTCAGGAGAATGAGACCCATCATTGTTACTGGTTTTTGGCATATTGAATACGCCACAGGGAGTTTGCTAGACTCTGCCGTGTGGCAGGATACTTTTGGAAGCCTGCCAGGTTCTCCAGAGTAAGAACTAGATAAGAAAATGTCACGCGGCCGCAAAAGCAGCCACGCGCTTCCGGGAGCTTGGTTTTATATTCTCTGGGTCTTGGTCATTGATGGGATTACACGGCGCCGGGGGCAGTGGGTGGGTGTAACGCCTACATACTGGAAGATGGGGGATCTGGGTGGAGGAGGCCCAGTCCCAATCCAAGCAGGCTTGGAGATCTACACCCCGGGTCCTACGGCCCGGGTCCTGCACACCTGGGTTCCTTGGCCGGTTCCTTCATGCGTTAGGCTCGTCAGAACGTGTGGAGAATGGTCTTAAGCATGGCTGTGGCTGGAACCGGAGGTCTTCAGCTGCCGGGCTGTTTCCGTGTCTCTGGGAAATCAGCAGCCCCACCGGGTTGGGCCCTTCCCATGAGCGGCACCAGAACCCCAAACATGTGCTGAATATAAACTCTTTGTCTGCTGGACTTGGGGCCCAGGAGGGCTCCTTCTTGCCCTGTACTTCCTGCTGCATTCAGCCCTTCCCCCTGGGCCGAGGTCCACCCCAGAGACCAGCAACAGGTTTGGGCAGCACGAAGTACTGGAAGATCAGGAAGGCTTCATGGGGACATTCATGTGAGAATGTTTTGCAGGTTGGATAAGAGTTCACTGAGCCGAGAATCCCGGGTATACAAGCCTGGACGAGTCTGGCACCCGCCGAACAGGAGTCAGAGCATGTGTGGGCTGCTGGGGCGGTGAAGCCACAGCAGAATCAGAAAGGGCAGTGAAGGTGCCCTAAGGATTCTGGACGAACAGCTCCCAACGCAGTTTCCTGGTATGGACTCTTGCCAGTCACGCTCTGGGTGTGCCTGCAGAAAACGGAGATCTGGTCACACGCCGATGATCAGAGGGAGTGAGGTCAGGGCTGCCGGGCCTCCAAGCAGGAGTTGAAACTAGGGGAGAGCAGGGGTGATGGAGAAGTGACCCAACTCGCCTACACCTGACGTGAAGCGTGGGTTGCGAGGGGAGAAGAGCCCCCCCATTGGAGGGAGGGTGGGAGAGGGGCAGGTCAGGTCGGCTGGAGTCATCTGGGTTCTTTGAAAGGCCCGAGGCATGTCAGAGTGGGGTGTCCGCTGAGTGGAGCTTCTGCGCAGAGACAAGTACTGGGGCTGTTTGCCATCAGCACCAAGAGGTCACTCGGGGACTGTGGGAAGGACCGTGACAGAAGCTTCCGGGGATCGCGGAAGGCCACCTCAGGACACTGGGAAAGCCCAGAAAGACGGGGCGGCCAGGCGGGAGGATATGGACTCAACCCGGCACCATTCCCAGGTGGAACACGTTGGGCACTGCCCTCCACCTGCCGGCTGGGAGGAGACGCCCCTTCACCCAGCAGGCCCCGCCTTCGCCCGGCCCACACTGCCCGCCCCTCCAGGCGCCCCTGCCTGGTTGGCCCCGGCGCATCCCGCCCCGCCCACATCCCCGCCCCTGGCTGGTTGGTCCTCGCGACACTGGGCGTGGCCCCGGCGCGTCCCGCCCAGCCCACACCCCCGCCCCTGGCTGGTTGGCCCTCGCGGCCCTGGGCGTGGCCCCGGTGCGTCCCGCCCCGCCCACATCCCCGCCCCTGGCTGGTTGGCCTTCGCGGCCCTGGGCGTGGCCCCGGCGCGTCCCGCCCCGCCCACACCCCGCCCCTGGCTGGTTGGCCCTCGCGGCTCTGGGCGTGGCCCCGGTGCGTCCCGTCCCGCCTACACCCCACCCCTGGCTGGCCCTCGCAGCTCTGGGAGTGGCCCAGGCCCGCCCCGCCCCCAGGCGCCTCTGGTTGGCTCTCGCGGCTGTGGGCGTGGCCCCTGCCTGTCTCATCCCGCCCCCACCCCGTCACTCCCGCAGCCCTTGAGTGGTTCATCCTCGCGGCTTTGGGCGTGGCCCCGCCCCGTGCCGCCGGGCTGGAACACGCTCCGGAGGTTTTCTGCCTCCCCCACCTCGCGCCGGGTGCTGGCATTTTCGCTGGCAGACCGTTGACCCGCTCCGGGATACCTTTGGCAGCACGCCCCCTGCGGAGCTGCTTTTCTCTGCCGTCAGCCTCCTCCCAGAATTGCACAACCCGGCACGAAATGGCCATCGGTCTCAGAACTGAGGGTTCCTCAGGCGCCTAACCCGCCCTCGCGGCCCCAGAGCGCCGCGTGCACATGCGCGCCCCAGAGGCCCGTGCCCCGCTTTGCTAGAAGCACTGTACTGCGCGTGCGTCGCACCAAGCCGGAAGTGTGTCCAAACCTAACACTTAAGGTTGAGCGTGGCCTTTGTTTATAATCTTCCCGTGGCTGCAAACCCAGGATTTCTTGGGTCTTTGCAGAACAGGGTATCAACGCATAGGTGGGGCAGGCGTAGTTCTGCCATTTCCCCTTCCCCGACAGAGGCACCTCTTCTTGGCCATCCAAGATGTTAAATTCAAACCCCTTAAATACTTCTGGAACCTGCCCGACGTAACATAATCTCCCAACATCATTTACCAGCTGACACAGGCCAGCTCCACAAGTCCACATCCTCTGTTCTAAAACGGGAAGTTAATGCAGACACCACCAAGTCTTCTCCTATGCAGATTGATCTGCTGGGCACTGGAACCCCCCTCCACTCACACCTGAGCTGCCAGCTTCCATCCACTGGACAGTAAGGGTATCCCAAGGTCGTCCTGAGTAAAGACTCAAGTGTCATCACAGGTCCAGTGCGGCGGGACCGAGAAGAGTGTATTGGGGGCTGCTGAAAGAGAAATCTGGCCAGCTTGGCAACAAGTTTATTAGTTCAGAGTGAAAAGAGCAAGAGTCCAACTGCTTTGAATCTTCGGTAAAAACCGTACTTCTCAACTGCGGAGCTGCTAGCCTGCCCCCCAACTCACCCCAAAACTCGCTCTAACTTTAAGGCACTTGAGAAGAGGGAAAAGGGGTGTGTCGGACCAAACCCCTCCAGATGCTGTAGGGGCCAGCGCGGTCCTCCAGGTTCCCTCAGGCACAGTAGAGCAAGAAAGGACAGGCGGGATGTCAGTGCTGGTGCTGGGCACGAGGACGATGCCAGTGCCGCAGAGGGAGGGAACAGGCACTGCTGGGGTGCAAGGTGACAGTCAACTCATGACTTGAAGAAGACACGTGGTAATAAGGCTGCGTGACCTACTAGACCGTGCCTCCAGCTACCCCACTTTTCAGAAGAATGCCGGATGCTGGAGGATGGGGTGGGGTGCCCAGAATCCCTACAGAGCAAGGGGCCGTCAGCTCCCTGCCTTCTGGGGAAGTTAATGCTTCCTCTTAAAGCACCTCCAAAAAGATAAGACACTGCCGATAGAAGAACAAAATGCTCCCCCTGCCCGCCCTAGGAAGACATCAAACACAAATTAGGAGGAACTGGGGCACCCCCCGCCCCCTGGAATCGTTAAGTGCTTGCTCGGGGAGGGCTCTGGGCAGGGCCAGTGCCACCCGCTTAGGAGCTGATCTGACTCAGGAGGGCTGAGAAGTCCATGTCCGCGATGGAGGAGAAGTCTTCGTCCCCTGGCAGGAGCCCATTGGGCAGCCCAGAAGCCCCCAGAGGGGCAGGAGCTGGGTCGGGGGGCCTCTGGGACCCTGTTACCAGGCGGGTGATGGATTCAGGGTACTCCATCAGCATGGGCTCAGCCGCGGTGGGGGGCGCGGAGACCCCCTGGTTTAGCAGCTGCTGGAAGTCGGAGTTGTCGACCGACGCCAGGTCGGTGAACACGGCAGGGTCCGTGCCAGCGCCGAGCAGGGCCACCAGGTCCTCATCAGTGTCAAACTGCAGGTGCAGCAGAGCCTCGGACAGGGCACCGTCCCCAGCCGCGGGGGGCCTGGGTGCAGGAGGGGCCGCGGCCGGGGGCAGGCCGGGCACGAGGAGCGGGGGGGGCGGCGGCGGGGGGGCCCTGGGCCAACACTGGGGCCATGGCGGGGGCAGGGGCAGGGGCCTGGGCCAGGACTGGGGCAGGGGCCGGTGCCAAGGCCGAGGTCTGGCTTGGCATCTGCCCGGGAGGATAGACCATGGGGGAAAACTCCTCAAACTTGATGGTGCTGAGGGGTGGCGTGAAGGGATAGGGCTGGGGAGCTGGAAGAGAGACAGAGAGGAGGAGTGAGAACAAACCTCCCCTGTTGGGGGGGGGGGGGGGCCCAGTTGCTGTCCCTAGTGCTGAGGGCGCTGGGTGCACCTGCTCCCTCTTTTCACTCCCAACGGGC